ACCACCCGAAAACCAAAACCCACCCATGTGCGATATTTATCCTCGATTTGATGGGCCCGTGCTCATCCTGGAAGGGAGACTATCCACCCATGTTAGCCTACTACTCAAAGGAGCTGAGAGCGCTGGCGAAAGGCATGATCAACACCAACCCGTGCGAGAGGCCCAGCGCGGAAGAGGTGAGTTCCGAAAGCAGGGTGCACACGACTCCACGGCATTTCAATAACCGACCCTGTTTGTCGCCTTGAACATGTCATGACGCGGTTGTCTGCGCGGTGGTTCCTCGAGGATAAATATCCAGCCCGTCCATGTTGGCATTTTACTGAAAGAAGAGAACTTGTGCGTTCTGCACTACAGGTGATGAAAATGGATGGGTGGGGCTGCGATTCCGCTCTGTTCACGGGGGTTTTTACCTTTATTTGTTGTTAGGCTGAAGTGTTTCTGGCTTCCATGCGATGCGCTTTCCACCCCCAAACAAGGGGATTTGGGTACGTGTGCTACCGTGCTATTATACACCACCATCGCCTCAGGGCCCATAACTTGTTGGCAGTCTCTCGTCTCCACCACCTCGGTGTTTTGGTCGGGCAACGCGATCGATCGGGACCGTCATCCCCGTCGTTGGCTGGGCCACACAGGCGAGATCTCTTCGAAGGACTCTTGGCCCAGCTGGCATGTGCGTTTGGGTATTGTACACTTTTAGAGATAGCCGCTGCTTGTGTTTCACTAAGTCCCAGGGCGCTGTTGTGGAACGTGGACCAATAGGGATCACCGACCAAACCTTTGTAGGCGCGTGCACGGAACAAATTGTTTTGGAACATATTTCGTGGTGCTGGATAACAAAATAACAGATGTAGTAATGAAAACATTTCGACGTGTTCCACCCTTGCTTGATGTCTCTTGTTGGGTATCAAAGGCCCACTCAATCGCCCTTGGTATGAAGCAAAAGATGGACGCCATGGGGAACCCTGCCAATCCTCCGCCAAAGGTGAAAACACTTGGATCTGTCTTCTTCGTTTGGTTTCCGGCAACACTCTCAAGGATAGTCCCATCAACTGACATATACCGCCGCTGATACCCTCCAAATCTCCGTTCCGCCATGTGTCGTCGACAATACTGTGGAACGGTAGTTTTCTAATCGTGCAGATTCTTTTTGCAGCTCTTCAGGACCAGTATTCCGAGGGGAGCGAAGCATTGCGGGTGGTTTTCTGCTGGTTCAATTGCGATGAGTCGTGCTTGATGATTTGCACAATACTAGCCACAGCAGCGCGTGCCAAGATGGCCTTCGAAAATGTACTACTTGTAGTTGCCAAGTCACACGCCAACCATTCGCTTCACACACAACACATCCCACGTCTTACCCTTGTTCTTTTCTTTGTCTGCCTCGCTCTGTCTCTCCCCCCCTCTGCCGCTCCCTGACCACACGCCTCCAGACCGCTCGCCATCTAAAGCTGAAGAACACGACGCCCAGAACGGCTGCAGCTGCAAACACAAAAACAGCAGCAACAGCTACAGCTACAGCTACAACCGCAGCAGACAACCTGCCCCCGTCGCGAGGAGCAGCGACTAGTGTGGGTGAGTGTCGAGGCGCCGCGGACATAACAACAACAACAACAACAACAACAACAACAACAAAAGCAACAGCTACAGCTACAGCTACAGCTACAGCAACAACCGCAGCGGACAAGCCTGCCCCGTCGCGAGGAGCGGCGACGAGCGGGGATGAGCGGCGAGGTGACGTAGACTCCCGCAGCAACGGGCAAGCGGTCGTCGTCCTCGACTCTGGCACCTCTGCTGATCTGCCTGAGGGAGCAATGGCGGTTCCTCCATCTATTGACCACATTGGCGCGGTCGTTGCCGCCGCCTCTGCCACGGTCCGGACCAGGACAAGCTCTCACGAGCTCAATACCAAACGGGACGGCGAAGCGGCGACCGCGTGCACTCTCGCCCACAGACTCGGTGGTTACACTAGCAACGGCGATGGCAACCACCATAACCATCATCAGCAACAGCACCACCACCGTCATCAAAATAGTCGCCACCACTGCTATCACCATGACAAAATGGACAGCCACAGCAGCGGCAGCCACTCCCGCCGGGGAAGAACAGAAAGGGTGGAGAGTAACCATCAGAAGCATCATCACGAGCAGTTCAAGGTGCTGCTGCTGCAGCAGCAGCCACAACAGCGCCATGTCATCGTTGGCGAGCCCCACCCGGCAGGAAACTCGCCGGATCGTCGTGATAGCAACGGAATCAAAGACGGCAAGAGGACTGTGGGAGAAGCGGCAGTGCCGGTATACGCAAAGCGAGAGGAGGGAGGCACCGCTGCCTCTACCACCATCGAGAAGAAGCAACCGAAAAGGACCGACGGTCCTGCCACTTCCGCGAGCAGCGCTTCTGTCGCTCTGAAGTCTGCGACTTCTACGATGCATGCCAGGGCCGACGTGACGAAGAATCGCCACACACACAGCCCCGAGCAGCACCCGAAAGTTCTCGCCGCTCCTTGGTTTGAGATTTCCCAAACAGCCACGCCACAGCCGCTCCCGGCAGGGACCGTGATGACAGCAAGCGGCATTGTGCTACCAAGGGTAAGGGCCGGTAGCTTTGAGGCGAAAGCGAAGGCAGCACTAGCGGCAGCGGCGGCGATGGCGGGGGCGCGGGACGGCGAGGGTGGGAGGCGAACTGGGTCGCGGTGGTCATCGTCACCACCGCCGCAGCAGAAACAGGTGCGTCTGGGACCAACCGTCGTGAGGTTCAACGATGCCATACCCTCCAAGGTCAACGGGGCTGACCCGAGGTGGGGTGAGAGTCAGGCTGTTGATGATAGAGCGAAAGGCGAGCCAGCTGCACAAGCGCCGGCTTGGGAAGGGCCAACTCGCTCAAAGAAGCAAAAACAGCGGCCTCCCCGTACGACAACTTGCGAGGCCGAAGCCGAAAACTGCCGCGCCCCAGTAGCACTTTCGGTGGCAGCAGACGCTGTTGCTAGAGGTTCGACTCTTCCCACTGTGGTCGTTGCAAGGAGAGCAAGCTCCACGAGCGTGAAAAACTCCAAGTCCAATTCGGGACGACGGCGACGTCGTCACCGTCATCATCGTCAGCACTGTCGGCGCGTGGCCGAGGAGAAGAACAGAGATGTGAACACAAAAGCAACACCAGCGGGGAAGGAAGAGGAGGAGGAGGAGGGGCGGGAAGCAGGCACGACGACATCGAGATGGTAATGGCGGCTGAAAGCAAGGGCGACCGCGATGATAAGGAGTGCGGCAACCGTCGCAGCTCGCAAGAAAGACATGATAGGAGGAAGAAGACGAGCAACCACAACAGCAAGCGCCGCAGCACCAACCACAAGCCCGAAGCCGAGCCCAACAGCGACAGCCCCAACTCGGCGTCTTCGTTCTCCGTGCCTTCCTCACCCTCCCTTCCACCGGCAGAGACTGCGGCCTGTGTTAGCGTTGAGAAGAAAGTGGACGTTGGAACAGAAACAAGGGAAACGGAGACGGCGGTGCTGTCCGGCCGAAAGGCCCGTGGGCAGAAACAGTGGCGATGGCGGCGCGGCAGTTCAGCAGCTGATTCCGCTATTGCGAATGCTACGGGTGCCGCTACAGCCGCAGATATTGCCGTCGACGCCAATGCCACTACTAGTGCCGAAGCCTCAACCACCGCCTCTGCTGCTGCTACCGCTACACCTGCGAGAGGGGGACAGGCGGTCGCAGCCAAAGAGACTCGAATCGTGACGGTTTCCGGTGAGAATTAACCCCGGCGAACTGTACCTTGTTGAGACACTCGTTGCCCTCGCAGTGTGACCGTGATTGTGGTTGCGTCGTCCTCGCTTGACTGTGACACACCGAAGAGCTCCGCTACGGTCCCAAAGGATGTCCTCGCAAGCGCCTCTCCCGACCCGGAAACTAACCCAGCAAACGCAGCAGCAGTAGCAGCAGCAGCTGTGGGCATGCGGTGAACCCCCCTCGACCTCCATCTTGCCTGATTGACCCCTGGGCACCCTTCCCCGTCATTCTCGCAGGAGACAACTTCGTCGCCATGGACACGCTGTCAGGCCGCCTGTCGATCCTGGGATACGAGAAGGCCCTGCGAAAGCGGACTTAGCCTCCGCCCACCAGGTACGCCGTTTCTTGCCGCACGCGCCCCTCCTGTAGCATGGGGGGGCGTGGAGATCGATTCATTTGAGTAATGGCGTAATCAGTTTCACGATTTCGTGATCACCATGTTAGTGTTGCGTGCTTATCTTTTACTTCCATTTACTCCAGGGGGTAGTCTACAACTTCCGGTAATGCTTGGCGCACCAAACGGGGTCGCACAGGACGAAAGTAAATCACTGGAGTATGTTTTCTCGGTGATAAGCTTGCAGCGGTAGCGCGCCGGGCTGAGCCGCTCTGGAGAACTTACCGCAGGTGCTCGCTGAAAAGCACGACAGCCTGCTCAATGCGAAAAGTGGAGCACTGCTGAGTGCTGTTACGCAATTCGTTGACCCTCGCAACGTGGAGATACAAGATGTCTTACTGCTGGCTGACCCCAGGGTCGGATTTGGGTAGTGAAGGCGAGAGTAAGAGAGAGAGAAGCGCGCGGACCAGTTCTCGCACGCTAGGGTGGGGTCCCATAAAAACAATGCTGACCGATAGCTGACAGCCCAGTAGCGGGAAACGTGGCATACAACATGTCTCTGCTCTAGATTAACGTGGCCAAATGTTGGTACCAATCTGCAGCATACAGACCACCCGCACGCATGCAAATATACATGACTTGGGGTACTGTTGCCGTAGTCTAGCCAACAGCAAGCACGCAGAAGGTATAGAACTAGGCTATTGCTGTCTACATAGGAACGAATACATCATTGACATAGACATTACTCCTATGAGGACGCCTCCAATTCTCAACGTGGTCACCTATTTCTCGAGTCTCGAGGGGCTTGGTGTCAACACGCCTCTGCTAGTTATTTATCTCTACGTAGGCAGGCTACGCGATGAAGAGCCTGAGTGCTGTGTCGAGTGCTTATGCCTGCAGAACCTCGCTTCACGCGGCTCTTTACCGAGCTTCTTCTCCGCGTATTCATGACTCTCATTATGTCCCTCTTCCCGCGTTCCCCCAATACTCTCTCGCATTCTCGCCGCTGTTTTCGATGGGCCAACGAATGCCGCCGGCCCATCGGCTGCCATATTGCCTATTTCCTCCCACCAAGGCTCCACTTCGCGGTTCCCGGCGCTGATAGCGACGGCGGGGTTGACGGCGAAGGAGACGGGGACCGAGCGAGCGACTGGCCGATGCGGTTCCCGTCCCGCGAAGACCAATTTCTCGACTTTGTTGCCCTATCGAAATGGTTGCTCGAGCAGCTCAGTGGGTGGCGGTGGCCTTACGCTTGCTGCTACGGGTGCGCGAGTCACCGAGTGCGCCAGCATCCTCCAAGCCTGTCAGGTCTGTCCATTCATCGGTCGGTTGGTAGGTCAGTGTGCCTGCATGGCTCGTTTGTGATTCGAACACGTGACGTTTACGGTTTCGATGTACGCTCGCTAGCTCCCACTAATCCAGGGGAGCGAAAGGCGAAAGAACCAGTTTTTGTTTCTGATTCTAAGAGGAGGGAGAAATGAGGTGGATACACGCTATGAGATGGACAATGGAAGGACCGACGATCCTTCCTGTTTTGCGGCTCTCAAGAGCATTGTCATGGTACCGCGCTCCGTCTCCGTCCCTTCCCTCCTCTGTGGCCGCCCGCTGTCGTGCTGCACAAACTCGGTAGAGATTGGGCTTTGAACCGTCGCAGCCTAGAGCAGTAGGTGGAGCGGTAGGAACGAAATCGCCATTTCTTTCAGCACCAACACCTTCACCAGCGACAATTTCTCCGATAAATCTTGCGGTCGGCCCCGGGACGGCTGTACTAGAGCTTCTGGGCTGGCTCTCGCACGCCGTGCTGAACAAGGTGAAGAAGACGCTGTCGCGGGGAGTCGGGGACAAAGAGGATGAGCGGAGGTGGGGGGGGGAGGTACATGAGGCAAAGCGACTGACCGACTGCAGCGTTGAACGAGGAATGCAGGACGAGGAGGGCGGTGTTGTCGTTCGGCCGAGCGAAGGCCGAGTCGGGACCACAAAAGGAAAGCCTGGTGAGACGATCATTGGCAGCCGGACGAGGGGAGGGAACGGCAGCATCGGCAGACACGGGAGGAGCGACTCCACTTCCTTGAAGAACAACACCGCCGCCGGTCGTAGACGCCACCGCGTGATCCACCTAAGCATGAATGGGAGATATGTCGATGGTAAGGGCAATGAGAGAAGCGGCGAGAAGGCGTCGGTGACGGTGACCGCTGCAGGTGCCCGCGGGAACAATAACAGCGGCTGCAGTGCTGGCGACAACGCCAGGGGGTGTCGCGCCCTGCAACCAGAGCTGGCGTCGATGATGGCGACGACGGCGGCGGTTTCCTCCGTGAGTGGGTACACGTGCTGCTGGTGTTCCAGTTCCGGTTCTGCTCGCTGCTCGTGCTGTGTGTCACAGTTCGGCTCGTCCATGGATGATGGACACGGTGGTGGAGACGGCGGGAATGAATTGGAATACGACGAGGTGCGGAATTACAACCACCTGAAGCTGCTCGTCACTTTCATCTTATGTAACGGGCTAAAGAAACCGAAATCAAACAGTAAGACTAGTCAGCGCTGTTTAGTAATTAGTCGTTGGGTTCGAGACTTTTGTAGAAGCCGTGTTTGGTAATGGTTTGTTTTCGGCTTCTGTAGGGCGCACCTTTGCTGGGGATATGCGTGTGAAGTAACAACGGAGAGCAGCCTTTAACGCAAGTAGGAAACCGACGGTGATGATGATGACGCATGGTTCCACGCTCCGATCTTTGACTGATGACGTATATTCCCCTCGTTTGTTCGCTCCACCCGGCTCGAACAATCGCTGCACAGGCGGTGTGGGGAAGAGAATCATCTGTGAACGGCCTCGCCTTCATGTGAGAGTGTGACAACGATGGGTTGAGGTGCTGCTGCATACGCTGTGTGGCTACGTGCTCGATTTCCTTGTCATTTTTTTGTCAATGCGATTATTCAAGCATGACAAGTCTGGCCTTGGTGTTTCATCCTCCTTGCTTCGCCAGTTTGTCTCGTGTCGTGACATTCCAGGGGGGGCATGATCGAGCCTACTGTGGACCCGGCCGCATGGTGCGCGGAGCAAGAGAGGGTGGCGCCCAGGCTAGCAAGGGCGGCACCACCAGCGGTAGGTATTCGCGCAACAGGGACCAGAGGGTGTGCTGCGGTGTAGTTGAGACCCCCCTCAATCCCGTTGATCGCTATTCTTGTGAAGTGTGCTGGCCGAAAGTTTGGTCAGAGTTCGCTCGCTTCAACGTAGGCATGTACCGGGGCCGCGAGCTCGACTTGATGTGCTTCATAGCAGTTCGTGCTAGGCACTCGTCGGCCGACTACACACACGCCAGATTAGCAGTTGCTTCGGCTGATTTGTTTTATCGGATGGGCATGTCTGGCTGTTCGAGTTCGTCATCTTGCACAGGTGGGATATGGAAAAAATAATCAGGAGCGAGGGACTGAGACTGAGAAGACGCACCGAAGATTCATTTCAGTACTTGTCTCCATCACCCACCCGCCTGCTCGCTCGCTGCACCCTTGTCTCTATGCCCCGCCCCGCTCTCCACCAACATCGTGTCCTCTTTTCACCGTTCTCTCTCCCGATTCTCTCTCCACGCGCGCTTGTCTATTGCTGATACCTGTTTTGCTGAATGCACAGGGTTCGACAGGGTGCGGGACCGATCCCTGGACGGATCGTGTTGAGATTTTAAGAAAGGCCGCTGCGGTGATCTCGAGTGCCACGGCCGGTGGCGATTCTCCTCCGCAAGCAGCACCAGCACCAGCACCAGCACCAGCCTATTCGAAACCGAGCAGCCACGGCAATGGGTACGGCGATGGCTACAGTAGAGGTGGGGGTGGACGTGAGAGCGGGCGCCAAACTTCTCACGCCGAGGATACTTCCAGCGCGTCCGGTATCAGCGCATCGGAAGATCGCAAGGACTGCTTAGAGTCGATGCTGGTGCGACGCAGAGGCGAGGTGTTGCAGCACCTCAAGGCGGTGGCCGCCGGAGAGCGAAGAATCAACAACTTACACGGGGGTGGCAGCACCGGTGGCGGCGGCGGCAGCGACAACCTGCCGTGCTTCCGGGAAAAGGCTCTCCTGCTGAGGAACCAAGAACGCGCTCTCCTCGAGGAGCTGGAAAGGAGGAAGGCCAGAGTTGGGGCGCTGACCATAGAGCTGCGTGATGCGGAAGCCACCGTCGATGAGGTATGACAATGGTTGCTTGTACTTGCCGTACGGGGGGAATTTAGGAGAAGAGAGTTCGACCACGCACCCCTTTTTGTCTCTAACGCGGTGAAGGGTCTGCTCCCAAGGGCAGGGGGCGGGTGACGTCCCTGTGGTCACCATATCTAAGACAAACGAACGGTTGCAACCGTGACACGCACCCCGCGCCGCCTTCTGCCCCTTCCCCGTGTTATCGTTTGATTATCGCGCCTCGAACCATTTTTATCGCGCACTACCAGGGGGAGGTGGAGGTCAGGGAGGCAGCCGCCGATTGCTCTGACCCCACCAAACTGTACAAGACCAAGTCGGCCATCCGGCAGCTCAAGGCTGATGTCAAGGCCATAGACGTGATAATCGGGGCAAAGTCTGCGACCCTGTTGGGCAAGCAGCAGGGGGTGCAGGGGGCGGGTAAGGACCGAAGAGATGTTCTGTTGGTGCCTGCCACCCCTTGCCTTTTCCCTTTTGTAACCTATGTGTTTGTATTCTGCGCCGTCACCCTCCGTGGCTGTTTCATTTTTCTCGCCCTGTCCCACCTAGCCTGGTTCTCACACTCGTCTGGAATGTCGGCCAACCAACCTCAACACCCGCCCCCGCCTTGCCCGGTACCTGATACACGCATCAAATTGACAGTTTTGAAGGGCGTAATCGTACCGCTGCTAGATTACGCCGCAGAAGTATGGGAAGGAAATAAGAAGGTAGTGAAAGAACTCGAGGCAGCGCAGATGAAAGCAGCGAAAATCATCCTAGGATGCTCCAAGCGCACAAGTAATGCAGCCGTCAGGGCAGAATTGGGGATCCAATCCCTACGGTCGGGAAGAGACTCACGAAAGCTGACATGGCAGTATCGCATGTGCGGGATGGAAGAGGAGAGGTTGCCGAGAATAGTACGGGAGGCGAAGTGGGCAAACAAAAAGAGGGGCAGACAACCCACGGAATGGGGCAAAGGTTGTGGAGGACGTTTGGAAGGGGTTCGATATCGACGAAGATGAAACGCTGGAAACGGAGGTTCTGAGATATCTGTTGCTTGTGCCGAGAGAGAAGAGCAGAATCTAAGGAAAGAAACCGAGGATAAGGAGGGTCTAGAAGTGTACGGAATGTTGAAGGAAGGAGTAGGGTTCAAGGAGTACCTACATGGGCCAATGGATGCAGAGACAAAGCTTGAGGTCAATTTCAGGACCGGGGTCATAGGCCTTCGTGAATGTCGACGAAGACATAGGACGGTAGACGACGAAGACGGCAAGTTCATGTAGTCGTGGAATGTCAGCTGTACGAAAAGGAGAGGGAAGTGTGGATGACTGGGCTGGGAAAAATATAAGGGAGGTACAGGGATATGTTTGAGGCATGGAATAGAGAGGAGAAGACGGTAGCTGTACTGAGGAGTGGGAAGTGGTTTGGATATCGTTAGGATAGATAGACTAGGGAAGACATTTTTGAGCCACCTTTGGCAAAGTAGNNNNCCCCCCCCCCCCCTCGCCCTGCCCGCTGCCCCCCTGCCCGCTGCCCCACTCCATGGACACGCACTCCCCGTATCGACCCCCAGCGCGAGAAGCAGAACACACTACACCGGTCGGCAGCCGATGGGGCGGCCTAAACTCGCGGTCTGGTCGGGGCGGCCGCGGGAGTAGCGGCGGCGGCGGTGGCGCAAGAACAACATTCTCGTTTTCGCTCACGTCCGTATCGCTTGCATCGGTTGCTGACACTCCTTCCACCGCCGCCCCAACCAACACGGCCAGCAGCGCCATGAATGGTAGCCGCATGGTCAAGCTTCCGGGGAAATTTCCGGGAAAACGGACGTCATCGGTAGAATTCTGCGAGGCCAAAGGATCGAGGCTATGGCGGGGCCGTGTCCTGATCCATGGATCGATGGAGGTATGGCCGACAGGATCGGCTAGACCAACTGCAAACTCAGAAGGGCAGCCAGCAGCAGGGACAGGTGGAAGTCGTCGAGATCAATAGATGCTTTCTGCGCACAACTGTATCAATTCAACAGGGGTCATTAGTTCGACGAGAAGCAATGGGAAGCGGGCCAGGGCGACGGCAGCAGCCGCAGCCGCTGCCGCAGCAGCAGCCGCAGCGCGGCTAGTGGGCAGAAGGGGTGGCTTGGTCCCAAGATTTTTGTGGTGAGCATGGCGCCATGAGTTCTTCTGCCGAACGGAGGATGACGCGGAAACCCGCAGACGGCAGCGAGGGGAGCAACGACGGTTTGGCCGGCTCGCCTTGGAACAGAGGGGGGGGGGGGGGGGGGGG